CGCTCTAGAGCCCATGAGCCACAACTACTGAGCCCGTATGCCACAACTACTGAACCCACGTGCCACAACTACTGAAGCCCGCACACCTTGAGCCCCTGCCCCACAACAAGAGAAGCCACCGGAATGAGAAGCCCACGCACCGCAACGAAGAGTAGCCCCTGCTTGCCGCAACTAGAGAAAGCCTACGCGCAGCAACGAAGACCCAGTGCAGCCCCCCCAAAAAAAGGCAATCTACAAACTAGGAAAGAATATCTGCAATGCATATATCTGAAAAAAAGTTATGTCCAGATACAAAGTATTTGTACTCGGAACATATGAAGAATTCCTAGAGCTCAATGGTAAAAAGACACACAAACCCAGTTAAAAAATGGGCAAAATCCTTGAAAGAGTCAGACGTAGGGGCCACAGTGAGAAGTTTGGATTTTATGGACTTTATAAAAGAGTCCAGGGCTTCCCTGGTGACGCAGTGGTTGAGAGTCCGCCTGCCGATGCAGGGGACACGGGTTCGTGCCCCGGTCCGGGAAGATCCCACATGCCGCGGAGCGGCTGGGCCCGTGAGCCATGGCCACTTAGCCTGCACGTCCGGAGCCTGTGCTCCGCAACGGGAGAGGCCACAACAGTGAGAGGCCCGCGTACTGCAAAAAAAAAAGAGACCCCAATTCTGGCCACTTCTAACATCTCGCACCATCATCATGCACCTGGACTATTGTAACAACCTCCCAGCTGGCCTCCTGTTCCACTCTGCCCCAAACATCAGGCATGGTGATCTAATATTTATTATTAAGGTAAAATTTATATACAGTGAAATGCACAAAGCATAAATGCATGAGTTCTGGTCCATTATCTACCTATGTAACCATCACACCAATTAAGATCATGGAACGTTCCCGTGCCCCCCAGAAAGTGCCCTCTTGCTCCTTTTCAGAGTCCCTGCCCCCCACAGGCAACCCCTCTTCTCTTTGCGTCAATATTCACTAGCTTTGCTTGTTCGTGAACTTACATAAATGGAATCGTATGGTATGTACTCTTTCACGTCTGTCTTCTTCCAGGCAGATAAGGCATTCGTGTGGTTTTCTGTATCCGTAGCTCATTCTTTTGTATGGCTGAGTGGTTTGCCATCTGTGAGTACTCCACAATTGGTCCATTCTCTGACTGCGGGACATCTGGGTTGTTTCCACCTTGGGGTTATTATGAATCAAGTTGATACAAGCATTCATGCACAAGTCTTTTGGTGGATATGTGTTTCCATTTCTCTTTTGTAAACCCCCAGGAATGCAACTGCTGGTTGAAGGGTAGGTTTATGTTTAATATTGTAAGGAAGTGTCAAACACTTTTGCAAAATGACTGCACCATTTTCCATTCTGACCAACGATATATGAGAATTCTGGTTGCTCCACATCCTCAACAATATTGTCAGACTTTCCCATCTTTAGCTATTCTCGAGGGATTGTAATATCACCTCATTATGGTTTAAATGTGCATTTCTCCGATGACTTAAGATGCTGAGCACATTTTTATATGCTTATTGGCCATTTGGACTCTTTTTTTTTTTTTTTTTGCGGTACGCGGGCCTCTCACTGTTGTAGCCTCTCCCGTTGCGGAGCACAGGCTCCGGACTCGCAGGCTCAGTGGCTACAATTATACATCCTGGAGCCTCCTGTAGCTCCAGGATGGCTACATTTGGGATTGGTTCTTTAGCAAGTGTGACTGCAATTTATCCTCGCAGGCTACAATTATAAATTGTTCGTGACAGTTCTTTTCCTTCCCGAGTCTCTGCACAGGACCATGATCTTTGCTATTAGATCCAATGGGCAATGCTGTAGGAGTTTGCCATTAATGCTGTGATGTTGATTTAAGCATTCATTTGGGCTGGTCCATCTCAAGACATCGAGCAAAAGTTCCAGAACTAAGATGAGGCTTGATTTGATGGATTTCCTTACTAGCATGTATTTTTAAATATCTTTTCCACACGTAAATTCTCTCTTCAGTTCTTCTTTCATTTCCGATCCACTAACTGTTCTTAAAAAATGTCTAATATTGACAAGGTTCCCCTCACATTCAATTGGCAGCATACTGAACCGCCCATGCTGATAATGATCAATCAGTAATTAATGCATTTTTCAGCACACATTTTTGCAGTATCTCTACTGTATCAATAGCTGACTTCATTTAGATTTAATACATTCAAGCCAAACTCAATTCCCATATCAGACTGTTAGTTTATAGTAATTTTTAATGATAATGATTCCATAAATGTATGGAGAATATACTCAAACTTGTATTTTATCCTAAATTATACCCCATGCTATTTACATTTTTGCTTAATAAATTCAGTCTCAAACAGAAGGAAGGTAGTTTTCCCTAAAATAAACCCCATTTCTTTGTAGAGCACTTGATGTATCAGACCTTCATGATGTAATATTCTGTTACAAATCAAATTTTACAAAATGTATATTTTTGGTTTTATAAGCCCAGAGAGTCTCTAAAAGACAAATCTTCTTCTTCAGCTAAAATCAACTTGATTCACCACTGCTTGGGTATCTATACTCTGAGCTGTCTTCCCTCTTGATATTAAAGACGCTTGCTGTCCCCTTCATAACCCATCAGTGGGCCCCATTAGGAGCCCTACCAAGAGGACCGGGCAAAAACAGGTTCCTGATCTTAGTTTTCTAACAAACAGCCCCCAAACTGGCATATTTGCTTCTTCTTCAATTTCCCTATTTTAGTTACATCGTCTCAGTCTTACTGAATACATGTCTTTTTTTACAATGAGCCTTAAATTATTTTAGAAAGAGAAGGAATCAGAGTAAAATATACAAATAGAATAAATAAATTTTCAAGGCTTCAAGGATTCAGTCATCTGGGGCCTGCTCTAACCAAGATTGTTGCTTACTGGGCTATCCAGTCCTGACCCTCCCTCCAAAAGAGATCCCAGGGCTTCCTACAATTTATAATTGTAGGCTGCAATTTATTTCAACCTAGTGAGTAAAAATGACCACAGTTGGATACCATCAAAGACAAAGTCATTCTCCTGCCTCCACAGTGTAAATGGAGAGAATGAAATATGAAGAAAACCAAGACTGGTTGGAGATTCTGAGGGATTTACTTAGTCCTGATGGTTAAGGTTTGGCTCCAGCAGAGCAAGTGGTTTAAGGGGAGGAGGGGGTTGTTGGAATGAGGCGGGCTGGGGTGACTGTCAGCAAGGTTACCTGGGCACTGGGACGTGTTGGTGTCAGGTGCTCTCTTGCGACAAGGCTGGTGGTACAAAAGAGGGGTGGGCTGGCGATAAAGATTGGACCACCCAGGGTCCCGGGGCTCCCTCCAGCTTAACAATGAAGGGCATTGAGGGCTGGGGACAAGAGGTCCACGTGAAGAATACGAAGATCTGGTTTCTGGCCCTTTTTCTACCACTTACTAGGTGACCCTGGTTGGACAAGTCTTTTGACCTCCCTGAGCCTAGACTTTTCCATCTGTGACACGGGGTCAGCACTTCCTGCCCTGCTCAGCTCCTCCTGGAGGACTGTTGTGGGGATCTGCAGGACAGAGGACCCAGGGGCCCTCCAAAAAAGCCCGCGAATATGCACTACAGTTGTTTTTTATTATTTGCTGGGAACGAACCCTCCCGTGTGAGCGGATACTGGAGCCAGGCAGTGGTACGTGCTCCAGCCTTGGAGGAGTATTTTAGGAAATAATCAATACAAGATGCACTGGGTTTGAGCCACGATAAGAGTCATAAATGTTGACAGTCTGCTGCTTGATAAAATTAATAATGCTTGAGAGAAACATTGTAAAAAACTATGGGAGGGAAAGCAGAGTGTGTCTGGGGAGAGAGTCTAAGCCAGTATGGAAACTGTCCTCCAAGGAAGGTCGGCCCCTCCTCCTGCTGGTGGGGAGGTTTACACACACATATGCACACGTACACACAGGCATACACACACCACACACATATGCACTTGTGCACATGGGCAACAAGCACCAGCTTTGTTGGCTGCATCTCAGAAGAGACTGGTGAGTGAGAAAGGCTAGCATTAATTCCAACAACAGATAATTGGAATTACCTTTGGAAGAAATGCCACCTGCCTCTGAAATTCTGAAATGAAACAGCGACAGTGTTCTTGCCCTGTCCCACTTCTCGCTGGTGGAGAAGAGCGTGCTTGTGTAGCTTTGGGATTCGAGGCTGCTGTGCACAGCAAGGGAGAAGAGGGTAACAAAGGGGGACCGGACCTCATGGTTTTTAATCAAAGCCCTGAGATGCTCTGTGGTTAGAAAGTAAAGGGAAGAATACTGCTTTTCCTGTGTCCAGAATGTTCCCAAATCTTCCAAATCCTCTGTCTGGGAAGATTGTCCAAGACGTCAGGATTGTCACCTGGACTTGTGCCAGCTGCTTGCTGTTGGTGGGAGCGTCGGTGCAGAGATGCTGCAGGTCTGAGTTGCTGTGTAGAACCGTGGTAGTGGTGAGGGGGCCCAGGGACAAACTTGGTTAAGTCCACGTGAGGCCAAAGGGGAGTCTGCCGGGGGCTGGCCTCCAGGCACATGCAGTCGACTTCCTATCGTGTGAGAGTCTTTACTTCGTCTGTGGTCAGAGACCAGACGACCCCATTAAAAAAGGATGCTCACTACCATATATAAAAGAGATAAACAACAAGGTCCTACTGTACAGCACAGGGAACTTATTCAATATCTTGTAATAAACTATAATGGAAAAGAATCTGAAAAGAAAAAAATATATATATGTAAAACTGAATAACTTTGCTGTACACCTGAAACTAACACAATATTGTAAATCAACCAGACTTCAATAAAAGTTTTTTAAAAAGGGATGAAAACACTGGCTACTGTTCAGTAGAGTGGTGGAATTATTCTTAATTTAAAAATTGCTTTTGCTGTGTTGAATTTTTTATTCTAAAAGTAACATCTGTTTATTATTTTAAAAAATGTTAATTTAAACGGTCAGAAAAAACTGTAAGGAAATCTTGACATTGGGTCTGTCATGTTTTCAGGCAGAGAAAACAAAGAATTTTGTCCGTCGGAGCCTGGTCATAGGAGAAGTCCTCTCATAGCAGACATGGCCCCAGGAGTAAAGGTGAGAGACACTGGGCAGCCTGCCCTTCATGAACTGATGGGGTTTTTTTGTTTTGTTTTGGTTTTTTGCGGTACGCGGGCCTCTCACTATTGTGGCCTCTCCCGTTGCGGAGCACAGGCTCCGGACGCACAGGCTCAGCGGCCACGGCTCACGGGCCCAGCCGCTCCGCGGCATGTGGGATCTTCCCGGACCGGGGCACGAACCCGCGTCCCCTGCATCGGCAGGCGGACTCTCAACCACTGCGCCACCAGGGAAGCCCAGTCGTGCCCATTTTCAACTGCATACAGCCCCTACCCTATCCCTGTCCTTCGGCAACCACTAGTCTATTCTCCATCTGCATGGTTTTGCCATTTCTAGAATGGTATATAAATGGAAGTTCATTAATTTTTGACTACAGAAAGATATTCCTTTGGTTGAATGTGCCACAGCACTTGGAATTCTTAGACTTCTCCATTTTTGCTGATCAAATGGGTATAAAATGGCATCGCACTGTGGGCTTGCTTTGCATGTACCAGCTCACCAGGGATGGTAAACAGAATAGCTTGAAAGGTGTGACTGCCGTGGCCCCTTCCTGTGCCCTGAGCCTCCCAGCAGGCATGCGGCCCTGCATGTGCCCTCTTCTCCCTCCCTGGACACCACTGCATCACCAAATCAGTCCCCACCTGTAAATATCCAGTCCTGATGTCCCCAAAGGGGAGAAATTATAATTAGAAAATGATGAATGAATGATCAGACAAGAAAGCAGGTCAATCATTGATGAGTCCAAGATGGAAACTTTCTGTTCTGCAATGTAGACATTTAAAAATGGGTAGGAATTAAAAATGAAGAAATCTGTGAGCACCAGCTGGGGTGAGGGCGCCCACCATTAGGTCCTTTGGGGAAAACTGGCTTCCCTATGAATTCATCCAGACAGGGTCTCTTCTCTCTGGGATGGGTTGGCTGTGGCTTCCAGAGAGAAGAAAGTCAGCTGAGATGCAGCAAATAGATCCTCCTCTCAGAAATCCTAGAGGGTCCTGGTTCAGACTCATGATCCTCCGTTGGTGCTTTTACCATATGCCCACACCTGCCTTCTCTTTAGCAAGTCTCCGGTGGGCCATGACCATGGGGAAGTCTTCATAGGGTGTTGCAGCTCTCTGGGTGGGGAGCCCTCTCCTCTGCACCTCCAGGGTCTTGCACTGAGCCTGGTGCACAGAGTTGCATAGGGAATGTTTGAGCAAATGAGGGAGGGGCAGCTTGTAGTTTCAAGCAGGACTTAAGAAACATTTCAACCCATTGCAATATGTGGACCTTATTTAGATCCTGGTTCAAACAACAGACTGTAAAGAAAAACTAGACGTCAGTTGGGGAAATTTGAAATTGGATATTTGGCAGTATTAAAGAATTATTATTATATTTGAGGTGGAATAATGGTTGTAGGGTCATGCTTTTAAAAAGAGTCTTTAGGGCTTCCCTGGTGGTGCAGTGGTTAAGAATCCACCTGCCAATGCAAGGGACACGGGTTCAAGCCCTGGTCCAGGAAGATCCCACATGCCGCAGAGCAACTAAGCCCGTGAGTCACAACTACTGAGCCTGGGTGCCACAACTACTGAAGCCTGCGTGCCTAGAGCCCGTGCTTTGCAACAAGAGAAGCCACTGCAATGAGAAGCCCGCGCACCGCAACGAAGAGTAGCCCCCGCTCTCTGCAACCAGAGGAAGCCCGCGCACAGCAACAAAGACCCAATGCAGCAAAAAATAAATAAATAAAACAATTTTTTTTAAAAAAGAGTCTTTATTTTTTACAGATGCATAGGAAATACTACTTATGGATGAAATGACAGGATGTCTGGGATAAACTTCGAGATCATCTGGGGTATAGAATGGGAGAGTGAATTGGGGGAAAGATTAATAAAATGGATCATGAGCTGGGCATCACTGAGTTTATGATACTCTTCTATTTTGTTTGAAATTTTCCACAATAAAAAGCTTTTTAAGAAAGTTTTACTCCTGAGTATCCTAGAAGGAAATTTGAATAGATTTAAAGGACTGGATCTTTAAAAATGCTTCTCTGATCACATCAATCTCAGCTGAAAACCCCTTCCTGTTAGCTTTAGAGAAACCCTCCAACCCTTGACATGTCTCACAGGTTCTCGTGGGGTATGGCCCTACACTCATGTCTCCAGACACCTTCTGTGCCACGTAGTCCTACCCGGGAGATCTGCTGTCTTGGCCTTCTTTCAGTCCCTTGTTTCCATATTTGGACCTCTCATGCTATCATCCTAGAACCATCTTTTCCCCTCCTTCACCTGCCTGACACCTGCTCATTCTTCAAGTCCCAGTTCAAGTGTCCTTCCTTCAGGTAAACCTCCCTCAAGACTGCAGTTTAAATCCCACGTACATGTTGTCATCTGTCTTTGTGCCTTGCAGTATTCTGTCATGGCATTTACCCATTTTTTTTTTTATGATCATGTTTTTTTTTGGAGGGGTTTAAGATTAATTTTTATTGGAGTATAGTTGCTTTACAATGTTGTGTTAGCTTCTATTGCACAGCAAAATGCAAGGATTCTGCAGTATATGCAAATCAAGCAATGTGATACACATGATACACAATTAACAAATTGAAGAATAAAAACCATATGATCATTTCAATAGAGGCAGAAAAAGCTTTCAGCAAAATTCAACACCCATTTATGATAAAAACTCTCCAGAAAGTGGGCATAGAGGGAACCTACCTCAACATAATAAAGGCCATACATATATGACAAACCCACAGCAAACATTATTCTCAATGGTGAAAAACTGAAAGCATTTGCTCTAAGATCAGGAACAAGACAAGGGTGTCCACTCTCGCTGCTATTATTTAACATAGTTTTGGAAGTCGTAGGCACGGCAGTCAGAGAAGAAAAAGAAATAAAAGGAATCCGAATTGGAAAAGAAGAAGTAAAACTGTCACTGTCTGCAGATGACATGGTACTATACGTAGAGAATCCTAAAGATGCCACCATAAAGCTATTAGAGCTAATTAATGAATTTAGTAAAGTTGCAGGGTACAAAATTAATAAACAGAAATCTCTTGCACTCCTATACACTACCAATGAAAGATCAGAAACAGAAATTAAGGAAATCCCATTTACCATTGCAAAAAAAAGAATAAAATATCTAGGAATAAACCTACCTAAGGAGGCAAAAGACCTGTATGCAGAAAACTATAAGACACTGATGAAAGAAATCAGAGACGACACAAACAGATGGAGAGATGTACCATGTTCTTGTATTGGAAGAATCAATATTGTGAAAACAACTATACTACCCAAAGCAATCTACATATTCAGTGCAATCCCTATCAAATTACCAATGGCATTTTTCACAGAACTAGAACAAAAAATTTTACAATTTGTATGGAAACACAAAATGACCCCAAATAGCCAAAGCAATCTTGAGAAAGAAAAATGGAGCTGGAGGAATCAGCCTCCCTGACTTCAGACTATACTACAAAGCTACAGTGTTCAAGACAGTATGGTACTGGCACAAAAACAGAAATATAGATCAATGGAACAGGATAGAAAGCCCAGAGATAAACCCACGCACCTGTAGTCACCTAATCTGTGACAAAAGGAGCCCAGAATATACAATGGAGCAAAGACAGCCTCTTCAATAAGTGGTGCTGGGAAAACTGGACAAGTACATGTAAAAGAATGAAATTAGAACACTCCCTAACACCATACACAAAAATAAACTCAGAATGGATTAAAGACCTAAATGTAAGGCCAGACACTATAAAATTCTTAGAGGAAAACATAGGCAGCACACTCTCTGATGTAAATCGCAGCAAGATCTTTTTTTAAAAAATTAATTTATTTTTGGCTGCGTTGGGTCCTCATTGCTGTGCGTGGGCTTTCTTTAGTTGCAGCAAGTGGGGGCTACTCTTTGTTGTGGTGTGCGGGCTTCTCATTGCAGTGGCTTTTCTTGTTGTGGAGCCCGGGCTCTAGGCACGTGGACTTCAGTAGTTGTGGAATGCAGGCTCAGTAGTTGTGGTGCGCCAGCTCTAGAGTGCATGCTCAGTAGTTGTGGTGCACGGGCTTAGTTGCTCCGTGGCATGTGGGATCTTCCCTGACCAGGGCTTGAACCTGTGTCCCTTGCATTGGCAGGAGGATTCTTAACCACTGCACCACCAGGGAAGCCTGCAAGATCTTTTTTGACCCACCTCCTAATGAAAATAAAAACAAAAATAAACAAATGGGACCTAATGAAACTTAAAAGCTTTTGCACAGGAAAGGAAATCATAAACAAGATGAAAAGACAACCCTCAGAATGGGAGAAAATATTTACAAACGAAGGAACTGACAATAGATTAATCTCTAAAATATACAAGCAGCTTATGCAGCTCAATATCAAAAAAAAAAAACCCAATCAAAAAATGGTCAGAAGACCTAAATAGACATTTCTGCAAAGAAGACTTACAGATGGCCAACAAACGCATGAAAAGATGCTCAACATCACTAATTATTAGAGAAATGCAAATCAAAACTACAATGAGGTATCACCTCACATGGGTCAGAATGGCCATCATCAAAAATCTACAAACAATAAATGCTGGAGAGGGTGTGGAGAAAAGGGAACCTTCTTACACTGTGGGTGGGAATGTAAATTGATACAGCTGCTATGGAAAATAGTGTGGAGGTTCCTTAAAAAACTATAAGTAGAGATACCATATGATACAGCAATCCCACTACTGGGCATATACCCAGAGAAAACTGTAATTCAAAAAGACACATGCACCCCAATATTCATAGCAGCACTATTTACAATAGCTAGGACATGGAAGCAGCCTAATGTCCATCAACAGAGGAATGGATGAAGAAGATATGGTACATATATACAGTGTACCCATTTTGGATTGATGTATTTATTCACAGGTCTGTTGTTTGTCTCTTAGCACCACTAGAGGGCAAACTCCTTGAAGACTGTCTCTGTCTACAGTCTTGGTATGTAGGAGGTGTCAGTACATGAATATTAAATGAATGCATAAAATCAAAACTGTATGGCAGTTACTGAAAAGGTTAAATTTAGAATTACCATATGATCCAGGAGTCCCACTCCTAGGTATATACCCCAAAGAATTAAAACAGAGACTCAAATAGATACCTGTATACCAACGTTCGTGGCAGCATTATTCACAGTAGCTGATAGGCGGAAAGAAACAAGTGTCCGTCGACAAATGAATGGATAAGCAAAATATTGTATATACAAGTGTCTGTCAACAAATGGGTGGATAAACAAAATATTGGAGGTACCATGGAATATTATTCAGCCATAAAAAGGCATGAAGTTCTGGTACATGTTACAACATGAGTCTTGAAAACATGATGCTAAGTGAAATAAACCAGACCCATAAGGACAAATACTGTATGATTCCACCTATGTGAAATTTTGAGAACAGGCAAATATATAGAGATAGAAAGTAAGTTACAGGTTCCCAGAGGCTGGGGGAAGAGGAGAATTGGGGCAGCTGTTGGTTAATGGGCACAGTTTGTTGGGAGGTGATGAAAAAGTTTTATAAGTAGTGGTGATGTTTGCACAACACTGTTAATGTCGTTCATACCGCTGAACTGTACGTGTAACAATGGCTAAAACGGCAAACTTTATGTTATAGGTATTGTGTCACAATAAAAGAATCTTGGAACATTTAACAAAAATGATGATTCACCCCTTTTGCTTTCCCACACATCATTCATTGCAGGGGAATTTTTTTCTTGTGCTTGGACACCCTAGACAGTTAGCGGAACGTGTAGGTTGTGCCTCTGGTCCAGCTCAGGAGGCCGTGGCTGCCTTTCCTGTTGGTGCTGGAGGGAGACTTCCAGGGAGGGGACGCAGTGCCTCAGGAGCAGGTTGGTGAGCCCTGGGTTGGTCACGACTTCCCCGGATCTCGGTGCCAGCCCAAGGCCCCTGCTGGCCTTCCTGGTCACCTGAGCTAGCCATCAACCTGAGCATCAATTCGTCAGCGTCATCTTCACCCCGCAGGCCGGAGTGCCTTCTCTCACCCGCCGGGTCCATGTCATCCAGAGGCTCCAGGCATCCCTAAGTGCTTTGGACAAACACAGTTGAACTCATGCAGCCAAGTGCTGGCTGAGCCAGGGGCTGCTTGGAGAGTGACTCACAGTGAGGGGGTGGGAAAAGGACAGAGGTGCCAGGGAGACTTTCTCTCCTGAGAGCTTTGAATCCCCACTCTAGCTTGGGAGCCGGCCCAAGGTCTCCCGCCAAGCAGGCTGATGCAATCTGGACAGACTCTACAGCCCAAAGAAACATGACCTGCTTCCTTTTCTTCTTCCCCATGACGGCTAGCTTTTTGCCTTATATGAATCGTCTCATTCTGTCTTAGTTTGCTTGGGCTGCCATGACAAAGTGCTAGAGATCTGCTGGTTTAAACAACAGAAATGAGTTTTCTCACAGTTCTGGAGGCTGGGAAGTCCAAGATCTAGCTGTCAGCTGGTTCAGTTCCTGGTGAGGGCCCTCTTTCTGGCTTGTAGTCTGACCACCACCCACCGGCTCACCGTGGCGGCCACTTGCTGGGCACCTTTGGTCTGCCTGCCGGGCTGGGCTCCATGCCCCTTACAGGAGGCACCTGCTCAAAGTGTACATTGGGCCAAGGAGTCGTCTGCTTAGAGCCCTCCAGGGGCTCCCCCATTTGGTCAGATTCCCTGCTCTTCGGAGCATGTGGCTTTGGCAACACACTGGTTAGCACGTGGGGGAAGAGGCCCACGTTTGGACAGACTGTGGGAGTCAGGGTCCCGCAGGCACTCCCTCGGTTAACTCCTGTAGTTTTCCACAAACCTGTGGGTTTCACTCACCCAGCCCGGTGCTTCTACTAATAGCATTTAGTGAATGGAGTCTTTCAAAAGGTGGCTGAAACACTCATTGTTTTCCCCTTTCCAAAGAGAAGGAAAAAAATGTAAAACCTAGGAAAACTATACTGTAAAGAACGTTTTAGCCACCAGCCAAAGAGATTTAAGGCTGGAAAATTCAACCTGTTTTAGTTTTAGAAAAATATTTTTCTTTAACTTGATTTCCAAGAGGGTTTAGGGCAAAAAAAATTTACCATCTGGATGGATTCCATTTTCCTGGGTTGGAATTAGTTATGCAATTTGCGGGGTCGACAGTGATTCTGAAGAGCAGGGCTCTGAGAAATCAGGGCGTTAAGCATCTTCCGAGGATACTTGACGATTCTCCAAATGAAAAGCGCCTCCTATGTGAGATGTGATTAGTGAAATTCGTCCGTCGTGATGTCAAAGCGGTCAAGTGGTTCAGTCTGAGTTGATGGGGCGGCCTTTCCGGAAGTTAGCGTCAGGCTGATCACACACGTGTAATGAGGGACTGGTCCTCACCAGAGGCTGATGACAGTTGTCAGACAGGAGCATGTGAAGATGCCACTTCTGCCACTTCCCTGCAAGGTCTTCCTTGGGGGTCACTGTGTCCACTGGGGCTCATGCCATTGCAGTGATCCCAGAAAAAAGGCGCACCTATTGGCTGCTATACTCGCAGAGTTCAGGGTGTAGCTGGCTTCAGGGGTGGGTGTGTGGGACCTGGTCTCTCTCATCTCTCGGTTTCACCTCACCTTCATCCCCACATGTTGGCTTCCTTCACCAGCTCTCGTGATGGCAAGAGGAGCCCTGACCTCCATTCTTCCAGGTTCCGTTGCTTCCAAAAAGAGTTTCTCTTCACCAGTAGCTGACTCGTGTGTCCCAGTGGCAGCTCTGATTGGACCCATCCAGATCACGGGTCCATCCCGAAGCATCCCCGTTGGCCATGATGTTATGCAGATCGGCCAGTCCTGGGTCCTGGGTCCCAGGCTTATCCTAAAGCTGGGCTGGAGGTTGACATTAGCCACGAACCACTTGGACTGATTCTGGGGGAAGAGGGCTCCCCAGAGGGAAACTGGGGCTGTGTTTCTAGGAGTGGGGACATGCTGACCGGCAGGCACAGCAAATGTCTGTACACCTGAGCTCTTCCGTCTTTGCAGTCAGTCCCCTGCTTCCTTCAAACGGTCCTGCTCGAGCCACCCTTCCTTCTCTTCTGAATCCTCGCAGCAACCGTATGAAGGGCTGTTAGGTGTCAGGCAGCTTGGGTGTGAACCTCAGCCCTGCACGCTTTCTCAGCTGCAGCCGTGGGCAGGTCACTTTCCTCTCCTGAACCTCAGTGTCCCCATCTGTCACATGAGAGGGACGGTGTTTTCTTCCCAGGGGGGTCACGAGGGTCAGTGAGTATGTGGAGCCCAGAGTCTGGAAGGCGGGAGGGCTCAGGAAGTGGAGGCTCGTCGTTCAGTGCATTTGTCCGATGGGAAAACTATGTCATTGTGTCATTGTCCAAGGCCCCACCGCCAGCTAGTAGCTGAGCTGGGATTTGAGCCTGGCCTGTGTCATCCCGAGCCAAGTGCCTGCTCGTTCTGCAGCCTGGCCTCTCCCGTTGACCTTCCTGTTTGGGGAGGGTTTCTCCTGGTACAGCCCACCTCTGCAGGCACCTGGGGTCGGTGCACAAACGCTGTTGCACATCTTCAATGTACCAGGCACTAAGCTAGACCCTGAGCAGACAAGGCAGAACGAACATTCAGAGAAGTCATTTGATGGGGTGAACCGGGCAGCCCCGAGGATGGAGGATGGATGCTTTGTGCTGTAGGGGTGACCTCTCCAAGAGAGGAAACCGTGAGCTGTGTCTGCCCAGAGGAACTGGGGCTGGACAGGCAGCAAGGGGAAGGATGTGGATGCCTTGCCACTTTAGTGGGGCATATGGAAAGCTGGATGAGCTGATCGGTGTTCCTTGAATGGAGTTTGCCCAGTGGGTTTGGTCATCATTAAATTGTTGACTCTTGCTAACAATGGCCTGTAATCTCCTTGTTTCCAGTGTGGAATAATTTGTTGGCTATTTGGTGGTGCCATCAGGAATCTCGGAAGCCCAGCACGTGTAACTAAATGGCTCCAGCCACTCCAGGTATGGCACGTACCTCCATAGATATCATCTATGGAGAGCCTTAAAAATTCACAGTAGTTAGGGGTGTGTGTGTGTGTGTGTGTGTGAGTGTGTGTGTGTATGTGTGTTTGCAGAAAAAGAAAATAAAACAGAGAATTAGTGTCAGCCAGAACTTTGTTTGAAATGAGAATTTAAGACTGCTTTTAAAAATTGCACTGAGTCTGTCATATTGTTATCACATTAGCTGTCACCAGACTGAATTTTTATAATTATCTCCAACTCACCACTCCCTTTCTCGCCAACATTCTTAATGATCTGAGAGGTAGGCAATTAGAGCAGCTGCCTGACTAGCTGATTCCCTTCTAACACCCGGTAAACTCCAGGAGCAGAAATACACGGGGATGTTTGCAGTGACCGAGAGGGGCCACAGGAGCAACGTGAGAGGGATCCGGACAGAAGCCACCTTTGACCTCTCTGCACAGGTGAGCATTCTGCCCGGGGTTCTGGCGGTTCTGGGCAGCGGACCTGTACACAGCGGACCCTCCTTTCTCCCGAGTCCACCTTCCCCCCTGCTGTGTGTGCTCTCAGGCGAGAGGGTGCTCAGATTCAGAAGAAACGCCTAAGTGCTTTAGCGGACATAGGCTCAGCCTTCCTGAGTCTAATACCAGCCAACACTTAAACACACCTACTGTGGGACGGGCACTGCTCCAAGCCCATTATGTACACTCATTAGCTTAATGCTTTGGAAAAACTCGGTGAGAACAGGACCTAATCCATTCTGTGGTCCTTCCTAACAGTAGCAGGTAAATGGGTGGAAGAGCGGTCTCTGTTGGCGTGTTCCATTGCACCGTGTGTGATGTGTGTGGCAGGAGGGCACTGTGTGTGCTGGGGCCTCCTTCTGGGAGCCAGGTCCTCGGTGCTGGCATGATGCAATGACTGTACCTGTGAGCTGCACACAAATCCACATGGCAACCGAAATAAAATTTCACAGCACTGGGACTTCCCTGGTGGCGCAATGGTTAAGAATCTGCCTGCCAATGCAGGGGACAAGGGATCGAGCCCTGGTCAGGGAAGATCCCACATGCCATGGAGTAACTAAGCCCGTGCACCACGACTACTGAGCCTGCGCTCTAGAGCCCACGAGCCACAACTACTGAGCCCACGTGCCACAACTACTGAAGCCCGCGTGCCTAGAGCCTGTGCTCCGCAACAAGAGCAGCCACTGCAGTGAGAAGCCCGCGCACCACAACGTAGTGTAGTCCCCGCTCACCGCAACTAGAGAAAGCCCGCGTGTAGCAACAAAGACCTGATGCAGCCAAAAATAATAAATAAATTAATTAATTAAAAAAAAAACAACACTAAAATTTCACAAAACAACCTGACTTTATTATATGGGATGAACTCCAAAATGTAGGTAAGACCCTCTAACTTGACGTCTCTCCACGAATGGGTCACAGCAAAAACCCTGCTCTGTAAATCCCACCCCCGTCCCCATCTCTTTAGCTCCTACTCTCAACACCCTGGTAGGTGTTGCCTCATACATGTGCGTGTGGTGACTCAGTCTTCATTTTTTTTTTTTTTTTTTTTCCTTGTTGGCGTCTCTCTCTTGTGGCTTCTCCCATTTTGGAGCACAGGCTCCGGACGCGCAGGCTCAGCGGCCATGGCTCACGGGCCCAGCCGCTCTGCAGCATGTGGGATCTTCCCGGACCGGGGCACGAACCCGTGTCCCCTGTGTCGGCAGGTGGACTCTCAACCACTGCGCCACCAGGGAAGCCCTCAGTCTTCATTTTGGCTGAGGTTGTCCTTTGCTTTTTTTTGTTGTTGTTTTTTTTTTCTATTTTCTTCCCTCATTTTAAAAAAGTTTTTTTTGTTGTAGTATAGTTGCTTTACAATGTTGCATTAGTTTCTACTGTACAGCAAAGTGGATCAGCTATACGTATACGTATACCCCCTCTTTTTTGGATTTCCTTCCCGTTTAGGTCACCACAGAGCATTGAGCCGAGTTCCCTGTGCTATACAGTAGGTTCTCATTAGTTATCTATTTTATACATAGTATCAATAGTGTATATATTTCAATCCCAATCTCCCAATTCATCCCACCTCCCCCCTTTCCCCTTGGTATCTATACACTTGTTCTCTATGTCTCTGTCTTGATTTCTGCTTTGTAAATAAGATCGCCTGTACCAGTTTTTTCAGATTCCACATATTTGGAATCTGGAGTTTTGTTCCCAGGATTTTTCTGACCCAAGAATGCTAGTTGGAGGTGGTCAGCACTTAGAGTGACAGATGCAGGTGAGGGTTTTGTTGGAGGATGTCCTGTCTTTCCTCTGTCCTGATGCTAGTTCTCTACAGCAGCCAGTGATGTCCAAGGTCATAGTAAGAAGCAGAATAAGGACTGCCACTTTTTGAATGCTCCCTCTGTGCCAGGTCTGTGTCAGACTCTCTCTGTATAGTATAGTATACCACACTCCGTCACAACAACAATCCCGTGAACGTGGTAATAGGCCACTTCTGTGCGTTGAGCACGTGTGTTAAGTGCCAGGCTAAGCACTCTGCATGCAACATTGTGTTAAATGTTCTATAATGTTATAGGAAGATATCCTTGTCCCCATTTTACAGGTGGAGAAACTGAGGCTCACAGAGGTTAGGAAACCGACTTATGGCTATGCAGTTAACGAGAGAATCTCAGGTTCAAGGGGGATTGTCCTTAACAACTTAGCTTTCCTGATGGGACACTGACCAAACATCTTTGGGGTTTTGGCTGCCCCATTTTTTCTCCCGCAACCATGGTATTGAGGTCACCTTGCTGTCATCAAAGGGAAAAAAATCCCACTCACAATTCTTATTTATTTGTTTCTTCTTACAATTATTATTATTATTTTTTGCACAGAAATCATTTCCCTGTGTTAGTCCCATTTTCCCCAAACAGCATAAATGATTTAGCTACCTGCTGTGCTATGGCAGCTGCCACCCTCGGCAGGGGAGTTGCAAAGTTGAAATCATAATGATGAGAAGACGCTGGTGAACGTGCTGCTTCCTGAGGGAGGGAAGAAACCCATCGTAAGCTCAGGCCACTGAGGGTTGGCTTGGCAGGGAATGGCTTTCTCCTTCATTGGTTTCTGTGTTTTCCCCTTCATTTCCCTTTTTAAATGTTAGAGCATATCAAATGAGCCCTCTCTCCCTCCAGGGCAGTTTCAGTCTCTTACATTTTTTGGTTGGGCATTCCTGTGGGTTGGTTGTTTTATTTTTATTTTTGGATGATGGATTGAGTAGCGGCATGGAGAGTTTCAAGGTAAGAGAGAGTTTTATTTTTACAGTTTAGGCAAAATCGCAAAAATAAATGAGGCTAAGAGCTCTCTGGCCAAGGCCGTCTCTTTTAGTGCTTGCAGGACTGACCGTTTTGTTGGCCTTCAACAGTTAATTATAATAGGAACCGACACACATGGCGTGCATTATTTAGATCCAGCTTTTAAAAATAATTTTATTGGAGTATAGTTGATTTACAATGTTGTGCTAGTTTCAGGTGTACAGCAAAGTGAATCAGTTATACATACACGTATGTCCACTCTTTTTTAATTTTAGATTCTTTTCCTATATAGGCCATTACAGAGTATTGCACAGGAGTTCCCTGTGCAATACAGCAGGTTCTTATTGGTTATCTATTTTATATATAGTAGTGTGTGTGGGACTGACATAGATCCAGCTTTAATGCCAGAGTTTTGGCTAAGGCAGACTTTCCAAATCAAGTATTTTTGCCAGAAGTGACAAATTTCCCTTCCCAGAGTAGATCAGATGCTGATGGGAACAGATGGCCTTCTGTCCTCTCCCTGCCCCACCAGAGCTTTTCTGCCAGGCCAACCTTTCTCTGCTACTTCCCTTCCCACCCTAAGGTGTTAGCATCCCCTTACCACGTGAGTTTTGTTGTTTGTTACTGCACCCACCAGGGTCACAATAACTCCTTTCTTTAAGAAGTCCTGGCTGGCCTGATAAGGGCAGCAGCCTCCAGAGACTTAAAAAGAGCTTGTCAATTTATGTTTCTGAAAAGCCCTCGCCTGTGTTAAAAGTTCCTCTGTGCACATATGTGTCAGGGAATGTTTCCTTGGGCTCCAAGACTGTATTTCTTGGCCAGAGGGAAAGTGCAGTCTGTATACTTAAAAGTCTGGAATCTGAGATGATCTTTACATGATCAATAGCTTGTCGGCTTGGTTCGGCCACATCTTCCATATTGTCAGCTTTGATTAAATTTGCTGTTCTGCCTTTTCACCATTCCACCCTCCCTCCCCGGCTCCCCACCCACCCGGGACTCTCCCCCCCGACCTGTCCCAGGTACCTGGTATCCAGAGCTGGCAGTTACGGTCCGTCTCTCCTTAACACGAGGTTGAAGGGTATCCCAGGTGGTAAGCAGAAGGAGGGAAGACCCAGAAGTGAATGGGGGCATTTCCATGGTGATCCTGTTCTAGCTCCTGGAGAGAAAGAAAAAGAAGGCAGAGTTTTGAGCAGAGTGAAAACAAAAAAATACATTTTTTCCCTCTGCTTATTCCTGACCAGTACTAACTTCGGACTGTTTTGAGCTGGAATCCTTGGTCATATCATGGAGACGAGCTAGATGGCATGTTCTAAGATTCTTTCCCTAATAAGATAGAGAATTGTTGACAAATGCTTTTTGGTTTAAGGGCTTATCCATATGAGCTTTTTTTTTTTTTGCGGTACCCGGGCCTCTCACTGTTGTGGCCTCTCCCACTGCGGAGCACAGGCTCCAGACGCGCAGGCTCAGCGGCCATGGCTCACGGGCCCAGCCGCTCTGCGGCATGTGGGATCTTCCCGAACCGGGGCACGAACCCGTGTCCCCTGTACCGGCAGGTGGACTCTCAACCACTGCGCCACCAGGGAAGCCCCATATGAGCTTTTGAGGGAACCTTTCATTATTATATTCATTGATGAGGAAAATGGAGAGGCAGGTTCTGAAACAATCATCCCAAGGCTTAAATGAGGTATTTCTTTTTATAAAAATCAAAATTGTCTGGGCTGAGATTCTAATCAATGGTAGGAATGGGTCACGGTTGCCTAGTAGTCTTGTTTGCGTCCCGGTGTACACATTTAACCTTTGGTTAGTTAGTGGCTATTTAAACAACAGACCCATACCTTAAAGGCAAGAATGTTCAAGACCCAGGACACAGTGGAGGTCATGAGGAACCAAGCGATTGGTCCAGAAGGGGCAATGCCCAGTAGACAAAATGAAATACATAGACATGGACTCATCTAACTAGGGGCCCCAGATCACTGGATGTTCCATCCTTTCTTGTCAATCTCGAAGGTGGAGTGTTTGGGGGCAAGGGGCGTGTGCAGAGCTGAATACATATCAGCAGGGCTTTTAGGGGTTTGGTGCTGATTATTTAGAAGTCAGAAACTCAGTGTGGAGTAGTCTAGAGAGAAAGAAGCACAATGAAGAAGGCCTTTATACATTAAAGCCATAGGCTCAGACAAATAGTACACATGCCCGTGCAACATTACGAAGAAGAGAGACCCGGAAGAAGTGAATGAACAACTTTCATCCATCGAAAAGTGGCAACGTATTTTCCTGATTGGAATATTCACTGACAAAGCACTTTAATTTCCAGTCTTTTTCAGAGTTAAGGTGGAGGTGAACAGTGCACACTGCAGTGAGAGCATGGTGGTGTTGAGCTCACGAGGTTGAATTAGGCGACTTTGGGTCGTCTGCTCCTTTTCTGTGAAATCACCCGAGTGGGTGCAGCTCCACAGTATGGATCTGCTTCACAGTGTTCATTGCACTGAACCCAGGAGTTGAAATGAGCCATAAGAAAGAAAACTCTGTTGCTTTGGTTTCTGTTTAGGAGTTTGTAATCGACACACCGTGTGAAAATGCTGAGAAGATGTACATTGGAAACGGCATGTACGGGAATTATGTAGCAGTCTTTGCCCAGCTCATCATAAACGGAAGATCTCAAGGTTTGTTACCGACACAGAAACCTAGGATATTTCCCTTTACTAGTACTATTCTCCCGTGAGTACTTTACACAGAAAACCCACCTCAGAGGGCTGTTTCTACCTTGTAAAAAAATTCAGCACTAACATTATCTCCTAAATATACATGATGAGACGATTTATCATTACATTCAACATTAGACACTATAATGGGCAGTGCACAGTCATAGAACAAAATGAATTTCAAGATCAACATAATTGTACAGTGTCCCAGGAAATGAGCAAAGCTTTGATCATATCTTTAGAGACCTTAGTGTCTCTTCACCTTCCTTAGGGCCCCACTGTTTCATCGTTCCTGTCCGTGATGAAAATGGAAGCACGTACCCAGGAGTGACAGCTATTGATATGATGTATAAAGAAGGTGAGTCCCCGGGTGACCCCTCTCCCACCCTTCTTTGCACTTCCTGCCTGTTCCCTACCCCACCCAGTGAGAATCTAGCCTAACTCACGAAAGCAGTGAAGGCAGAGAAGACTCTGGTTTTGAAGCCTGAGTAGTCTTCTGTGTATGGCAGTTACAGAAGGTTGCAGACTGCCGTTTATGAACACGCATTGGTCCCATTTCTCCCAGCCTCTCGTGTTTACTAGTCGTGAGGCAGCCCTGTCCCCAGCTGTTTCGTCTCCTCTCTCCTTCTTGGACTTGTGGGCCCTCAGAGGGCAGGTTGAGGTTCTCTCTTTCGTGGCCCAGAGCCACCAGCCTCAGTGGGTCCTAAGGATTGCCTCCGTGGACTAGCTTGCTAGGGTTGTTGTGCTCACACTGAGTGGCTTAAACAACAGAAATGCGTCGACTCACAATTGTGGAGGCTACGAGTCCGAGGTCAAGGTGTCAGGGGAATTGGCTCTGAGGGCTGGGATGGGGAGGGTATTCTCCAGACCTCTCTCCTTGGCTTGTAGGTGGCCATCTTCATGTTCACACGGCATTCTCCCTGTGTGCCCGTCTGTGTCCAATTTCCTCTTTTTTATAAGGACACCGGTCATTTGAACGGGGGCCCACAAATGCCCTCATTTTAACTTGATCGCCTCTGTACAGACCCTTTCTCCAAATAAGGTTACATTCACGGGTACTAAGGGTGAAGACTGCAACATATGAATCTTGGGGGAGACACAATGCAACCCAGAATGCTTGGTGAGAGCAGGCCATGCCTGTGGGCTCCACTGGTTATCCCCAGTCAAGTGAAGCCAAAAACGCAGGTGGGGGGAGAAGGGAAAAAAGAGAGAAGAAAGAGCAGAAGAGAAGGGGGAGGAGACGATCCTTTGGAGGATGGGGCTAAGCTCACCCTGGCCCCGTAGGGATATTGAGCACCGCATGCCTGCAGGAATGGGCTGCAAGTGCTTTAGGTGACCGAGGCCCTGATCCCTTGAAAACACCTGGCGTGTCAAGTGCTGTTGAGAGTAGAGGGGTCACCCAGCCCTCGTGAAGTGTTGCCAGACATTCATGACAGTGGCAAACCCAGAAAGTCTGAGCTGGTTTCCTTGTAAGTTCGTAAGTACCACTGTGACCTTGTCGAGGGGTGACGTTCTAAATAAGACCTGCGCTAAAAAAAGATCTTTTCTCCCAGAGCAAGTCTCCCTAAGTGTGAGATGTACAAAAAATAGACCCCAGATTCTGACAGGTGTCCTGAGGAAATGGGTCTGGCAGATTTTAAGAAACTTCTTGGGAGGTGGTCACCCTACCCACCCACTGCTGTCTCCCAATGTCTTCTAGGCATTTGCTGTCACAAATTCACCCCGTGTTCTGGGGAGGAAGCACCGAGAAGGGGGAGGAATTTGAGTTCTGCGTCACTGGGGGGCGTAAGGGGCTTTCCTTCTCCTCTGTGTTCAGTCTGATGTTCTTTCAGTTGCCTAGAATTCTCCCTTTTCTAGTCACAGCAACTGCTCAGGTGGGAAGCTGTGTCCCCGCCAGACCCCACCCCCCAGCTGGCCTCAGAGCAGGTGGGCTGCACAGAGGGTCTAGCATTTTCTCCTCTATTCTTGGTAGGGAGGAGGGGGCTGGAGAAGCAGGCACCACTCTTCATGGAAGCAAGCAAACAGCATCCCCACCCCAAATAAGAAAGCAGCAACAATTCTGGAAGTGAGATAAAGGGTTTTGCGTTTTAGCAGCGACAGACCTGGAAGTGGCCCGGACAGTATTTCTGATGCACATAAACTTGCCCCCTACAGCTCCGTTTCCCATCTGCTCTCTCTAGGTCTGCATGGTGTTGATACCGGGATTCTGAGATTTGACAAGGTTCGGATACCAAGGGAGAACCTGCTGGATAAGTGAGTAGTTGTCTCCTTAACTCGGACTTGCTGTGCATGTGAGCCCTTTGCCCTCCTTCCCGGGCCTGGTTCCTGGGTCTCATGGGCTGTACATCCAGAGTGTCTTCTCATAACCTCTCCTACAATTTTACTGACAATTAATTGAGAAATGTAGATAAGCAAATCAAAAAAAATTAAAATTATCCCAAATGCTGTCACCCAGACACAATGTTTGTTATACTTTCACGTATAACACTCTAGACTTTTCTCTATGAGGTTATATCTAATGAGAGAGAGAGATGTTTGATTTTCACTGAATGAGGTCCACTTAGAAATTCTATTTTTTATAACTTGTAATTTCTGTTTAACATTATATGTCCAATGTTTCTGTGCAACAGTAAATACACATAGGCATTATCATTTTTATTTTTATTTATTTTATTTTTGGCTGTGTTAGGTCTTCGTTGCTGTGCACAGGCTTTCTCTAGTTAGGGCGAGCGGGGGCTACTCTTCATTGCGGTGTGCGGGCTTCTCATCGTGGTGGCTTTTCTTGTTGTGGAGCACGGGCTCTAGGCACGCAGGCTTCAGTAGTTGTGGCACACGGGCTCAGTAGTTGTGGCTTGCAGGCTCTAGAGTGCGGGCTCAGTAGTTGTGGCGCACAGGCTGTGTTGCTCCGCGGCATGCGGGATCTTCCCGGACCAGGGATAGAACCCATGACCCCTTCATTGGCAGGTGGATTCTTAAACACTGCGCCACCAGGAAGCCCCTATCGTTTTTAATATTGCCATAATAGACTGTTAAATGATCTATAAGTTATGTATGAATCCCTTATTGTTGGTATTTAGATTATTTCCTTAAAAAATTTTTTTTTGGTTATCATAAAATAATTAGTGTTATTGCCTCCTTTGTGGATGACAGGAGATAAGGTACCATCCTTCTGCTTCAGAGGCTGTTCTAACCAGTACTGATTGGATAATATCAGAGGTGCTTAGTGTCATTTCCCAGCATCGCTCGGTGAGGTCAGATGGGTGAAAGAACGAGACGAAGTTTGCTTCTACAAGTGCATTCCAGGGATGGAGCCCCGGGGGTTCACTATGCTCTTTGCAGAGGCTAAGAAACACCAATTAACTTTACTTTTCTCAGCAGCATTTCATGTATCCAATAAAAATCCTGAACTACAGTGATATTTAAATTTGTGAAGAAGCAAGCCATCAGGCTTGCTGCTTGCTTTCCTATAATTTTCCTTTAACACTTTACTCCTTTTTACTTTTTATTTTTAATTAATTTTTATTGGAATATAGTTGATTTACAACGTTGTGTTAGTTTCTGCTGTACAGCAAAGCGAATCAGTTATACATATACATATATCCACTCTTTTAGATTCTGTTCCTATATAGGTCATTACAGAGTATTGAGTAGAGTTCTCTGTGCTGTACAGTAGGTTCTTATTAGTTATCTACTTTATATATAGTAGTGTGTATATGTCACTCCCAGTCTCCCAGTTTATCCCTCTCCTCCCTTTCACCCCTGATAACCATAAGTTTGTTTTCTACAACTGTGACTCTATTTCTGTTTTGTAGATAGGTTCATTTGTACCATTTTTTTAAGATTCCACATATAAGTGATATCATATGATATTTGTCTTTGTCTGACTTCACTTAGTATGATCATCTCTAGGTCCATCCATGTTGCTGCAAATGTCATTATTTCGTTCTTTTTTTATGGCCGAGTAATATTTCATTGCATATATGTCCCACATCTTCTTTATCCATTCCTCTGTTGATGGGCATTTAGGTTGCTTCCATGTCCTGGCTATTGTAAATAGTGCTGCAATGAACACTGGGGTAACTTTACTCCTTTTTACTGCCTGCAAGTTCTTGCCAGTAAATAAACGTCACAGATGCCAAAAGTTTAAGGAAGATATGGTGGAAACAAACTTAAAATGGACCAAATTCTGGTTGACATTTTTCCCTCTGGGAATTGGTAAGAAATGAAATGGAAACAACAAAAGCATCTTTGTAGTTGTCCTGGTGGGTGATGAAGGCCCCAGGCCTCCTCAGGAATGACCAGTGCCCATGCCAGGAAATCATAGGACCAGCAGCCTTCCCCAGAGGTGCCTGTACCTTTCCTGGTGGCTAATCAGCCTCACTCCACTCCCGGAGATGGGGAAGAGGGAAGGAGAGCCACACATCTGGAGCTCTCCATTCTTCACCCACACTAACAGGATCTTAGTGGACTGGACAGTCCTCGGCGAGAACCTGGACCCACTGGCTTAGCATTCATCCAATGCACTAGGGATTAGAAAGTCAGATTCAACCAGAAAGAAAAATAATAGGGAGCTACACGGTCTGTAGAAAATATGAGAATATATAGAATATTCTTTGGTAAGCAAGATTTGATTTAAAAGCCATTCCATAGGTATTTAAGCTGCCCCCCAAATACTACAGAACAGCAGAGGCAACACACTTTGAGGGTGTTGGTTTATCATTTGATCAGAAAGGGGTCTGTAAGCAGATGTACAGATTCAATGAAATTCCTGTCAAAATCCCAGCTGCCTTTTTTTTTTTTTTTGAAAAAACTGAGAAACTGGTTCTAAAATTCATACGGAAATGCAAGAGACTCAGACTACCCAAAACAATCTTGATAAAGGAGAACAAAGTAGGAGGACTCACATCCCTGATTTGAAAAATTACTACAAATCTACAGTTATCAAGATAGTGTGGAATTGGCATAAGGCTAGATGTATGGACAATGGAATAGATAGAGGATCTAGAGATAAATCCTTGCACTTATGGTCAATTGATACTCAACAAGGGTGACAAGATAATTTAATGGGGAAAAATGGTCTTCTCAACAAATGGTGCTGGCACAACTGGATATCATAAGCATGAAGTTGGACCTTTACCTCATATGATATACAAAAATTAACACAAGATGGATCACAGATCTAAATGTAAGAGCTAAAATTATAAAACTCATAAAAGAAAACATAGGTGCTGGGACTTCCCTGGTGGTCCAGCGGTTAAGACTCCACACTCCCAATGCAGGGGGCCCAGGTTCGATCCCTGGTCAGGGAACTAGATCTCTCATGCCTCAACTAAGAGTCCACACACCGCAACTAAGACCCAGGCAGCCAAATAAATAAATATTAAAAAAAAGAAGACATAGGTATAAATCTTTGTGACCTTGTTTAGGCAATGATTTCTTAGGTGTGACACCAAAAGCACAAGGAACCAAAGAAAAACTAGATAAACTGGACGTCATCAAAATTAAAAAACTTGTGCAGCAAAGGACACTATGAAGAAAGTGAAAAGACAATCCACAGAGTGGGGGAAAATATTTGCACATCTTATATATCATAAGAACCTAGTATCCAGACTGTAAAAGGAACTATATTACAGCTCAACAGTAAGAAGACAAATGACCCAATTAAAAATGGGCAAAAATATGAATAGACACTTATCCAAAGAAGGTATTGAAATGGCTAATAAGCACATCAACATCACTGTCGTTAAGGAAATGCCAATGAAAACCACAGTGAAGTACCACTTTGCGCTCCCTTCATGGCTGTAGTAAAAGAAACAGATGATAACGAGTGTTGGTGAGGGTGAGGAGAAACTGGAGCCCTCATCCATTGCTGGGGGGGGATGTAAACTGGTGTGGTCAACTTGGAGAAGAATTTGGCCGTTCTTCAAAAGTTTAACGTCTTCATAGGACCTAGCAATTCTACTCCTCAGTCTTTACAAAGACGTTGTCTACAAGAGAATTGAAAATATATATCCACACAAAAACTTGTGTACAAATGTTCATAACAGTTATTCATAAGAGCCAAAAAAAAGTGGAAACAGCACAAATATCCATCAACTGATGAATGGATAAACAACATAAGGTATATCCATACAATGGAACATCATTTGGCCATAAAAAGAAATGAAGTACCGATACATGTCACAACATGCATGAACCTTGAAAACAGTGTGTCAAGTGAAAGAAGCCAGACACAAAGGCCACACATTGTATGCTACTACTTATGTGAAATGTCCAGAATAGACAAATCCATAGAGTTAGAAAGTAGATTAATGGTTGCCGGGCTCTGGAGGGTATGGGGTATGGGACAGGACTGCTAATGGTATGGGGTTTCTTTTTGCGGTGATGAAATGCTTTGAAATTGGATAGTGGTCATGGTTGTACAACTTCGTGAATATACTAAAAACCGTCGAACTGTACACTTTAAAAAGGTGAAGTTTATGGTAAATGATTTGTATCTCAACAACAAAAAAGTAGATTAGGGGCTTCCCTGGTGGCGCAGTGGTTGAGAGTCCGCCTGCCGATGCAGGGGACGCGGGTTCGTGCCCCGGTCCGGGAAGATCCCACGTGCCGCAGAGCGGCTGGGCCCGTGAGCCATGGCCGCTGAGACTGCGCGTCCGGAGCCTGTGCTCCACAACAGGAGAGGCCGCAACAGTGAGAGGCCCGCGTAACACACACACACACACACACACACACAAAACAAAAAAACAAAACAAAAAAACAAACAAAAAACATGGATTGATGTGCCGTCTTTACAGCCAGGCTCTGGTGTTGGTTTGATGATGGCAGTCCTCATGCCTCTCTTTGTCAGAGTCCACTGCTGAGTTGCAGGGTAGTAGTGGCGGGAAATCTGCTTTTACTTTCCATGAGTTGAGCCTTTCTCAGCATCTCCTGGGGAGGCACTTGTCCTGCTCCCCACACTGCTGCCTTGTGAGGGAGGATCCAGGATGGGGAACCCTGTGTGTGCTCGTGGGAGCCACCTGACCTCATTTCTAGGCACCATGTTCTTCTCTTACATGAACCCCATCTCTCTTTTCCACCTGCCTCTCCCCCACTGCAGGTTTGGTTCTGTGGCTCCAGATGGGCAGTACCACTCCCCCATTAAGGACAAGAGTGCAAGATTCAATGCGATGTTGGCGGTGCTGACCCCGTTGAGACTGGCTGTGACTTTCCAAGCTACAGGCTCTATGAAGGTAACTGACTCTGATGTTAATTTCCCTTGCTGTTTATTCTCTGCCTGTCCCAGGGGTGGGTAACAATGTCAGGAGGTGAGCTGCCCGAGCCACGGTTGGTGTGAGGTGGCCTGGGTTGCTGGTTAGATGCTAGCGAGTGCCAGTTGGTGCTGCACAGAGGACCTTTCTGCAGCCTTCTTACCGTGGGGTCCCATCCCCCTGCGCCCCAGCTGTGTGCTGCTGATTGCGCTGGGTGGAACATAGGTGTTGCGGCAACAGGGCCACTAAAGATGGTCCCGGGAGAACTGGTTGTTCAGAACAAACACATCTTCTGGAAAAGCAGCTAAGAGCTGACTCATGGATAAGGGCCTGTGTGCCTTGGCTGAATTCACTGGGGGGCACTGATGCTTGCACGGCTGTTTGGCGTGTGACAGTCACCATCACAGGCAGGAGTTCATGAGGCCAGACCTCCAGAAGCCAACTCTGCCTCCCATTTCCTCCCGCCCCCTCCTCTGTCTTGGTTTGGAAGAAGCAGCCAGGAAAGAAGAGCTCTGGAAGGCTGCCTGCTCCTCGAGGCACTGCACTGTCTGTTCTCTGGTCCCTCCCTGTCTCTGTATCTCTTAGGCTCCACTGAGCTAGGGGAAGCTGGAAGGAGAATTACATACCCGTGAATATCCATCTGTGGCTTGAACCCAGATTCTCCATCAAGAAGGAATAAGTTTCATTCACCTGACTCCAGGCCTGACATCAGTGTGCAGCCACCTGAAAGGCAGGAAAATCCTTCCTTTCTCCCTTCTGCCGGGTCTGCACTGCTCACAGGAAGCCTGCCTGACCGAGCTGTCTCATGTGGTGCCCTTCCCGTCAGCGGGTGCAGCTGTGACCCTCAGTCCTGAGCCAGTGACCATCTGCCTGCCCGTGGGCGCTGCTTTATGTGCTTGTTTTCGGTGGCTCTTCAAAGTGAGTGGGGTGCGTATTCAGTTCTGAAGACCCAGGTCCACAGTGGCTCAGCGGGTCTCAGCTGAACTGGCTGAGTCAGTGAGGCCCCAGGAGAGCCTCAGGATGCAGGCCCAGGGGTGAGGCCAAGGTGCTGGCGCAGCGGCAAAGTACGGAGAAAAATACTTCTTCCAAGTCTGTGATAGACACTGTTTCAGCCATTTTCCAGACTCCAGAAGGAGGCAAGAGGAGAGAAAGCAGACGAGCCCAGAATTGCACCGTAGAGAAGATGGGACAGAAATCTGATCAGGGTTCTGTGAAGCGGGGACAGCCGTATCTGCACAATAGCCCCTCTGATCACAGCAGCCTCAGGGCCCCTCTGAGGAGAGTGCTGGTGAATATTAAAACCACATGCTGGTTCGTGGCTCTAAAGGTGCGGTAGAAACCCTGTGCTGTTACGTTTTGGAGTGGGTGATGTCATGTGAAGGATGTCCACACTGCCAGGGACCGGTCCGCCCATTCAGGCCAGTGGTGGAGTCCTGGGGGGCAGGCATAGGGTGGTGTAGATGGGGCACGGGGGGGCCTTCTGGGAGAGACTTGATTTCTAAGTATCAGTAGATCTGGAGCAGTGGGGATGGGGAGAGAGGACACAGAGTGGCTGATTTTTAAAAGGCACCCCTTCTCCATTTTCCTGAGCATTATCAAGGGGCCAGCCCCTGCCAACTCCGGAATGTCTGGGGAAGAGGGCACATTTGGATCAATTCCTTTTTGGGCATCTGACACACACATTTCGTTCCTGGCAATGTACAGGCCTTATCACGATCGTGGGCTCTGAAATCAGAGAACCCTGGGCTCAAACCTCAGCCTGGATGTGACCAGCCATGGGGGCGTGGGCAGATCAGTAGCCTTCTTTAAGCCTCAGTTTCTTCATTTGTAAAATGGGCCTTCTGATAATGGTGAGGCCTGGGTTAGGATGTGAGTGCGTTGCTGGCACAGAGCAAGGGCCCCGTCGCTCAGAGCTGTTGCTGATATGATGGCAGCTCCTGCTGCTGTTACTGGGGAGATAGGCGTTGGCTGTGGGAAAGGAGTAAATGGGCTTTTCCATGAAACAAATGCCTGGAGTCCTGGCCTCCAGGCAGCCAGGCGATCTGAGACGTTTTGCAGAGGTGCTTGGTGTCCCTTGGATTCCTGAGTATCTGAAGCGAAACACGATGGTCGCGAGTCGGCACCTGCCCTGTTTGGGAGGTGGGTTTGCCCGGTGACGGGGAGACCCCTCGCAGAGCTGGACGGGCCTCAGACCCATGTGATCCAGATATGGCCGATGTGTCATCCCTCACGGACCCTGGCCGCTGTGATCTCATCGAGAGCATCTCTGGCGAGGATGATCTCACCAGCTCTCTTGGCAGCTCCCTCCCCTCCTACAGCTTAAACACAGGACAGATGCTTTCTCAGCTGAAACCTGAGAAGGTCCTGCTTTTTCTGTGCTCGCTGATGAGTGGAAAACGGATCCCTTTCTCCAAAGGGCATTCCTCCTGTGTTAGAAAACTGTCACCATGGCTCCCCACGGTGACGTTTGCTCAAGGCCAGCACGCCTGGTCATTTTAAACTCTGCCCAGATGTGTTTTTTCCCCCCATGGTTATCTCTCATTTTCATAGCGTTTCTCAATATCTTCAGATTTTCTCTTAAAGTCTTGCTGTAATACCATGCTTTCGCTTGTGCCCCAAAATGCCATGTCTGATTAAATGATTAGCAGAGACAAAAGGAAAAGGAAACTAAGACATTTGGCAGGAGCTGGGGGCAGGAGGATGCGCATTGAGAGAACTCTGCAGCCGAAGTTGGGGTGGGGGGGTGCTGAGAAGCCTTTTCTGAAGGAGGAAGGAAGCTGGGGAGATTCACGGTGGGTTTGGAGGCAGAAGTAGAGGAAATGTGAAATGTACACGAGGTCTAGCCCAGAGTTTGGGGTCGATTTTGCATGGAAATAATATGCTAGCATAAGGCAAGCTGGTGCCCACTTTCAAAAGAGTCTCCCTAATCCTTTAAGTAGGTGTTACTCCGTAGCCGGGTCCCACCCTCAGGGTTTCGGATGCAGCAGCTCTGGGGCGCGGCCAGAGAATCTGCATTTCTACCCGGTGATGCTGAGGTTACCGGTCCAGGACCGCCCTTGGAGAACCACTGCACAGAACAGACGGATGCAGTTCTAAATTCCTGGCCCCATCCCAGCCATCCTGTCACCCTCTGTGGCCTCACAGTGCCTCCAGGATCAAGACACATTCTCTTCCAGTTTCCAGTGCCTTCCACGACCGACCTCTCACCCCACCCACCTCGTGCTGCGGTGCAGCCTGGCGAACCCGTCCCCACCTTTCGCCTGGTTAGTTCCCCGGATGTTTCAGAGCTCCGGTAAATGTACCTCCTTCAGAAAGGTCACAGCCCGCAAGCGGTCCCTCTGTCATGTTCCAAGGCTCTGCACTCCCCTTGCAGCGTTTATTGTGGTTATAACCGACTCATGGTGTGATAGGTCTCCCCTGCAAGCCTAAAAGCTCCATGCTGCCAGGGGCCCTGCCGGCCTCGTTCGCTGCCGTGTATTCAGCCTCCCACACAATGCTGGGCACCGAGTAGGTGCACAGCAAATAGGACCTGAAAGAATGGATGAAGAATGAGTCAGAATTCACATAGAAAGCACCTGGGTTAGTTCTTAGCGGAGATAAGTTCTCAGTATGTGTTCATTCTGTGCCTCCCCATCGCAACCCCTCAGCCTGTTGCCAGGGTGACCGGGACGGATGTTGCGGCATCTTCCTTCTAACTCTCTGTGGCTCTTCTGCCCAGAACAAGGTGTCTTCTTTCGTCCTTCCTGTTTGTCCTGTCCCAGGCACTGCCCTTTGTGTCTGCTTCGTATGTACGTGCCGGCTTACGGTGCCAGGAGGGGGCACTGTGTTGGCGCCCGTTTTGCAGTTAGGGATGAGGCCCTGGTGGTCAGGGAGTCACCCGGGGTGGGTGGGCACCTCGCACAGGGTGTCAGCGACACGCAGGGGCCATACTGCAGGGTCTGCGTGTTGAGTACAAGTCAGGAGTCCTGGACTGTCTCTCCAGTTCTGTATCCAGGGATCGCTGAGACCACGCCCACCCTGCCGGCTGCTGGAAAGAACGGTTTCTGTGGAGGAAGGTACGGCTTCTCTCGTTTCTTTGAGTGAAATGATCAGCTGGCCCTTGTTTGCCTCGCCTGCTTTTGGCAACTCTGCCGTGTGCTTGGTGAGGTCACAGTTAAAGCGGGGCCCAGATCCCCCCCGGGGTTGGGTGGTCGGCCAGGAGAGCCTGGGGGACCGCAGGCTAAGTCTTTGGGCCTCCCCGGCCAAGGGGACACCCTGCAGAGCACAGATGCTGGAGGCGTCAAGTGACTTTGTTCTGTCAGGATGAGGCCACCACTCCTAACTGCGGGCAGGGAGGAGACCCCACGGTCATGGCGCCCCCGGATGGGCTCAGGGTCTGCTGCCACTGGGGAGTAGTGGGCCTGGGGCTTCACTTCAATTTATCTGAGCTTTTAGTTTTCTCACTGCGTGAAATGAGGCAAAAAAAAAAAAAATCCATCTGATGGAAACATTGTGAAAATTCCATGAGTTAATTCATCTCTTCACCATCACCACCACCACCAAGACTGTTACAAGAAAATAATACTTATTGAGCCTTTATTATAAGCCATGCCTGTCATAAGTGCTTTACAGGTGTTAACTCATTTCTGCTCGCACAACTCTGAGAGGGTTCCATTGGTACCCTCACTTCACATATGGGGAAACTGAGGCAGAGGAGGTAAAGGAATTTGCCTGAGGTGGGCACTGACTATGCTTCCTTTGACTTTGGTGGTCCTTGTTACGGTAGTAAATGGTCCCGTGTTTGGAAGGATGGTCCCAGCATGTTGAGTAGATAAGATTGACATGTAGATACTATTAAAAGATACTGTAGAATTAAGGGGGAACAGGGGCAGCCCGACACAGTGCCTGAATACCTAGGAGCTGGAGATGCTTGGTCACAGGTGTGAGCTACTGAGTTGGCTGAGTTACAGCTTTGGGTCATGGCAGGCCACCAGCAGGCTGCT